TCAAAGTTTGGGTTTATGATATGAATGGTCATTGAGCAAGAATGATGAAAACGAGCTGGTAAAAAGCCATATGAAATTCTTGTTTTACGGGCCCTCTTGTACAACAGAAAAGGTTTTGGTTGGGGTCGACAATTACTTCAATAAATCTCCACGCATCGATTGTCGAAGCTGTAAGTCCAGAGACTGTGAGAGTAAAAATAAAATCCATCAAGCTCTGTAAGTTACTCCCCCTCCTCATAACAAGCGTTATCTAGGTTCTTGGGGCTGATTTCTGACTGTGATAGCCACATTATACACGCCTGAATAGCAGGATGTGGACAGAGAGACTGGGTTTAGAAGAAAGGAAGACAGTCCTTTAAATCACCCATTTTATGATCATATCGATTTGTAATATACTGATATTTGAGACAGCTATTTCATTATTTAAAAAAAATGAAACAACATAAGGCAACGTACTACTTTCGAATTGTCATGTAGAGATAACCACGAACAGAAATATGTGTTATCTGTTTTCAATTATTTTTAATACCAATGGTTATGAATAGTTTTATAACAAAATAAATGAAAAACAGTCATTTTTGCACTATAGGTTAGTTAATATAATTTCAATATCAAAAACTTCAAGATGTTAACATATAAAATAATTTGGTTTGCTAGGATCTTCTCACGATATTATTACTAACAGAAATAATTTATCCTAAAAATATAGAGTCTTTGTTATTAAACGGCTAGTTGAAAAAAAAATAAATGTTTTTGGTTCTCGAAATTAATATTTTATGTATTATTTTAAATATTGTAAATAAATATATTAAAAGGTGAAAAGTAAGTGATGTGGGAAAGAATTAAGACGGCGATTTATGAAGTTATTTTTGCTTGATCGTTCTTTGTAAAGTACAAAGCTACATAATGGGCTATTTTTGCTCTGCCCACCGCGGATATCGAAACCAAATTTACCTAGTTATTCTGAAGTAAGTTATTCTTATATATATTATATCTGTACTATATTGATAAGCTTTTCACATATAGTTACGCAAGATGCTTTCTTTACTAAATATATACATATATATATATACTTACGCATGATGTTTTGTTCACTAAATATATATATATACATACATATATATACTTACGCAAGATGTTTTGTTCACTAAATATATATATATATATACATATATATATATACTTACGCAAGATGTTTTGTTCACTAAATATATATATATATATATACATATATACTTATTCAAGATGTTTTCTTCACTAAATATATATATACATATATACTTATTCAAGATGTTTTTCACTAAATATATATATATATATACATATATATACTTACGCAAGATGTTTTGTTCACTAAATATATACACATATATATACTTACTCAAGATGTTTTCTTCACTAACTGTATTAGTAATTGTATTATAGTAACAAATTTTATGATTTTGTTCTATAACACTACTTTTCAACTGAACCATGTTAGATATTGTCATCAATATTTTGAACAATACTTAACAACGTGAGACCTCTTCTACTTATTAACTAGAGTGCTTAACGATTTTGACGTATTTAAAGGTTTCACATCACTATGAATATTCATTCAAATTTTCAAGATTAATGGTTTTGAAATATGTATTCGTCAAATTGGTTCAATTTGTTTTGTCTTGGTTTCCTTTATACCTAGAGTAGATCAGCGAGTTTATATATAAGCATTCATTTTATTAAGTGGTATATATATATAACACGTGCAGGTGGTGATTTATTTTATGTGGCTTAGAAATGGTATGCACTTGTGGCGCCAAAATTCCTTCACTGGATGAGTTCGTGCGAAATAGATTTGGATTCTCGGCGTTTCGACTTAGATAACTCAATCAAAAAGATATCAACCAATGTGAATAAAACATCTGGAATCACTGACTTAGATAAAATAAAATAAAAATACGCACTGCTCCACAATTTGGTGGATCTTATTGTTTCTTATTCCTCGTTCGGTATTGGTGAATGGCTTAACGACTGTATATGTTAAAAAATATATTGGCGCCACATACATGAACACACCAGGGAGTAAGATAAATATATTGTATATTCGTCTATTCAAATTCACTGAAGTAGAATGCTTTAGCTATTTCTATACAAGAATCTTTTCACTAATAGCAACAACTTTAAATGAAAATAATGCTAATTTGTAACCGTATTTTATTCTTTATCTTACAAATGGGCTACTCTTTTACCAACGAATAGTGGGATTGACCGTCACATTATAAAAAACCCCGGCTGAAAGGGCGAGCATATTTGGTGTGACGAGGATTCGAATCCGCGACCCTCAGATTACGAGTCGAACACCCTAACCACCTGGTCATGCCGGGCCTCAGCTCTTGTTATTATAATTCAAACCAACTTAAAAAAACGAAACAACAATGTCATTTTGAGTGAAATTTATTGATAATTGACCGTTGAAAGTACCAATTACCCAGTTAATCACTTTAAACTACGTCACAGTAAAATATTACTTTCATTGTTTTTAATTCTTAAACTGGATACATTTAATTCATTGACGTAAAAAGTGGGAATTTTCGATTAACAACTGATGTTTGTCAGGAAGTCGTGCTAGTTGGTCATGAATTATTGCTCCTCAAAATTTTCCATCTATATAAATAAGCACGAACGTCTCTCTCTCTTTAAGAATGTGTCTGTCTTCGAAAGAGGCGACATTGATGGGACTCCATAAGTTCAAACAATAGAGATGAATGAGAAATAAAAGGCGATAATATCATACTATACGGCGGGACAAAATTTTCAACAAAAATCTACATTCAGTAGAAGTTGTGGACGAAGAACCTGCTCTGAAACAAGAATAGACGGCGGGTAGCAAGGGCCGTAAAGACCGGTTGTCGAGAAAAGGTACAACAATGGACATCCCCTATAGATCAAACAGCTGCGAGAAATTAATTTTCGTAACCGTTCGTCTTTTTGTATACCACTAGCCTTAGCTTCCAAAAGAAAGGTTCGTTTACAGCGGGGCAAAGATAACCGGACTGTTGAACAATGTAAGTATGCCATGTGTTGAGATGAATTTTGATGCACGCTATTCTGTACGGATGGGAGAGTCGAAGTTTAGTGATAGTCCCATGAAACTTTGGAATCCTCGTGTATTGTTTTCACTGTGCAAGTTACTGGAGTTGGAGTAATGATGTGGGTTATATTTATTAGGGCAGGAATGGGTCCCTTAATAATTGGATTATATACTGCAAGTATGTGAACACCCTGGAGGATAAAGTGCATCCTCTTATGTTCCATTTTTAGCTTCAAGGTTATTTTTAAGACGACAGCGCCACAAGCTGCTTTGTCGTTATTATTCATAATCGGTTTTAAGAGCATGGGAATGTGTTCCGCCATCTTCCTTGTCCACCACAATGCCCATAACACAACATATTTGTTAATATATGAGACTTATTGAAGCTTATGGTCAGATCACCTACTCCTTTACCTTCAACCTTGTAGGATTTGGAGACAACGTTGCATGAGGAATAGTTGAAAGTCGAACAGAATGTACTCAAGAAACTAGTGAAGTCTACGTCATGACGGAATCAGACTGTTATTAAAGTAGCGTCGTGTCAACACACTATTTGAAAAAGTTTATAATTTGTTTACAGGTGGTGTTTTTTTTTCTAAACCTTTTAGCTACCACCCTTCTTAGAGGACATACAGCACACATAAATTGAGATACACCGCAATATGAGTTATGTGTATATCTCTGACCGTGTATGTTATCAGTTATATGTGTATATGGTACACGGGTTATGTGTATATTATATGAGTTACATGGATATATCTGATTATGTATATCTTAAGAGTTACATAGGTATTTCTGATTAAGCAAGTTATATGAGTTATACGAATATTTCTAGTGTGTATGCTGTATATTTTATAGTAATGGAGTTCAGGTACAGAATGCATCTTTTGTTCATGCACTCTTATGTTTACAGATGATGCCAAGATAGCTTGACATTTCTTTCTCAAAGCGAGAAGGGTTTAAAAAACAGCTTCTTTTGCTTTCCTGGTAAAATAGTTGAAAGAACATTCACACACTATAAAGCTTAAATTCTTCAGAGAATATATTTGAGATTTTTTAAAGCACAAGTATTTAGAGCATCTCTTACAATAATAAGTGAACTAATAAAAATCATGACATCAACGTTTTTATATGTAAAACAACTACTTGTACAATGTTAACAAGCTCTACATGTTTCGGTGGACAATATGGTCCACCATTTTCAGGATCATATTGTCCACCGAAACATGTAGAGTGTTTTTATTTTCGCATTACAGAAATAAAGTTAGTGTGCTCGTGGAAATGTTGGTGTCGTAACATTTATACGCGAGAGTTTCACGAGTGTTGTCGATCTAATATATTTAACATAGTCAACTAATAGCCTTTACCCTTATCTTTCTATTTCTTGTGAACGGAGACTTTTGATGTGATAAGTAGTTCACTGCTGTTTTGTGTTTTTAAATGAACGGCTCTTAATAGTGTTATGTATATTTATTTACTTCTAAACATTGCATCTAAACAATAATCAAGTTAGTATATACACTTGCTTCAATGCTTAAACCAGTAATGTAAAACTTTCATGTAAGTGTGAAATCATGACTTAATTTTGTGTAAAACTAAAGTGCAGATTAATCGTTCTATCAATTTCTTATTTATTTTGAAACCTAAGCAAATAACTTAAAAGTCAGAACATGAACAGAAATTTTTTTGCCCATCAAAAAGGACGAATCACAGTTAGTCTTGAGTGTGTAATTGATAAATACATTAACGAAACAATTTTTATTGGTTGATAATTATAAGTAATACAATCTTTCCCTATGTCGTTTTTGTATTTTTTTAGCATCTTTAACGTTTTAGTAAATGTACGTCCAGTGTTTCAGTTACGGTTGTATTGCATGAACTATTCCTGGTTATTCACCGAGAAGCTTACGAACAATTCAATCGTACTTACTGTTCTATCCCCAATTTGTCGAATTCGGCAGTGAAGATAAGCCGTCTTTCCAAGGGGTGCAGTGACGTTTCGAGTAGTGCTGTTGTCAAAATAGGGCCGTCGGTAGGGGTCGTCCCAATAGGAGTTGGGTCGGGAAGGAGGGTTAATTTTTCCTGATCCAAAGCTCCTTTCCATACGGGTGATCCTGTCCGGGCCAGAGACCATACCTTTAGCTAAGAAAATAAACAAATGGGTGAACCATAATTAATAAGAATAGGTAATTGTTTATTACAGTATTAAGAAATATTTCTTAAT